TGATAGATATAACTTGTACAAATTACGATGAGCCACATTCATTTATTTCTTCTCCTTACCAAATAAAATGTCAAAGACACTGAAAATATAACCAATTAGTTACTCCATAATAGTAGACTAGTAGTTGCCTTTATTCTTCTTCTTCTGCTGAGTGGGCAATCTAAATTCTTACACACAAACAAGTTTCACAATACTAATACTGATAGGCTTAGCCTTGTGTTGTTGATTCTCTTTAGTTTCTTGTTTCTTCTTTCCATTCCAGGATCTGTTGATGCATACAAGAACTTTACAGTGGGTGATTCTTTGGGTTGGTATGACAATATTGAAAAGCCTAATGTTGTATTTTAAAAAATTATTTGGACTCATTTGCACTTTTTAAAAAAGTTCAGGAGTAAGATTTTAATTTGTTCTTTTTTAAAAAAAAAATTTAAATAGAAGTGTATATTGGTCATTTTACGTTACAAATGGTGAAAATGATGTTTTCTGCAATGAAACGTTGAAATAAGAACAAAAATGCAAAAAAATGAAACGTGGGGACATTTTCCATGAGAAATGTCCAACGTAGGGGACATTTTGTTCTGAAAAGAATGTTTTCCTCAATAAAACGTTGAAATAAGGACGAAAATGCAAAAAAATGAAACGTAAGGACTTTTTCACAAAAAATGTTAAACGTAGGGACGTTTTGTTCTGAAAAGGATGTTTTGCGCAATGAAATGTCGAAATAAGGACGAAAATGCGAAAAAATGAAACGTAGAGACGTTTTCCACAAGAAGTGTCAAACGTATGGACATTTTGTGCTATTAAGCCTTTTCGGAAATTATCAATGAAGTTTGCCTACTTGGAAAAATGTTGTTCCAAAATTGGGTAAGGACACTAGGTCACATTTTTTGTTGAAGAACCTCTCAATAAAATGTATTAGAACGAAAACATTAGCATGTAGTCGAGATTGACCTTACAATGTTATTTCATAGTAATATACTTCTGTTTATGGGTAGAAACATTTTCTATAACTGTATTTATTTTGTCTTTTGTCATATTCAGTTATGCAAAAAGAAAGCCCTTATGAAAATATTTGTTCATCAAGGCTATTCTAGTTTGTCAAGAAATATCCAACCATATAGAGCATATGTACTTCTAATAAACAAATTTCACGTACCAAATCCCCACATATTTAAGGAAAATAAGTTAGCAATTGTAAAGTATAACGAATATAAATAATCTGATATCAATGAAAATTTGTGCGAAACTGTCATTTATCAATACTATAAGTTGAAAGTAAATACATAAACTGAATTTTGTAATATGAAATCTGATAAGTTGTAATAATACTGAAAAATCACACGATATGACACTCAAAATAATCATACCCATGTATCGATTAATATCAATGTACATGGCAAGACTATTCATAATTTGATGATTCTGTAATTTTGGTTATACATGCGCAGAGCTGTCCAAAGGCTGTATTATGGTCATATACTATGGAAACACATTCACATAGTGCAGAGGGGGGTAAATCATTATACCTTATCATACACTGTGAAAACTCATTCACAACATTGTAGAGCGGGTAAAATAATCATATCAGATCGTACACTATAGAAACACATTCACATCAGTATAGACTGGAGTAAAATCACATTGGTACTTTCTGGTAGCTTTAAAACTAACTTTAAATGCACTGAAATATTTAACACTGATATAATATGCAAATGAAATGATTCAGCCGAAATGTATTTAATTAACTTAACAAACTCGAAAATAGGACAAAGTCAATCAATTGGTTGAAAGAAACTGGAATTGGATTGAAATTCATAGCTAGACTTTAGTAAAACTAATAAAAGATAAGCCTTTATTATCAATTTCTTTGTCAAAATTATTTTTTTCAACATTTGCACTTAGGTTCTTGAAGAATTAAAACTTTACTCAACAACTTCCCAAACTTTACACATTTTTCTTTAAATAAATCACTCCAGGTGCAATATTTTATTAATAACAAAAATAAAGGAGTGATACAATAAAAGTGAAACTTATCCTGCCTAGAGATTGGATAAATTTACACACAAGTCACATAACACATCTTAGCAAAGTTTTGGCTATATTACAACAGAAGAGAGAGAAGCTTACGAGTTCTACACTTGGCCATTAAAGGTTGAGCTTTGGGCAGGGTTATTCCAGGTCCTTCAGTCATGTCAACCATTTCATGACCAACTCTTTCCCAATCAAAGCATTGGATAACTGATCCTAATGCCAGTCCGACAATACGCAAGGCTAAGCCATCCCCTCCTCCCAGAACCAAATGGCATTAACTTGAATCCATCTCTTGTTTCTTCAATGCCTTCAAATCTTTCGGGCTTGAATTTTCTAGGTTCTTCCCAAATCTTGGGATCATTATGTATCGCCCATATGTTTACTATCAACATCGTGCCTGATGGTATGTGATATCCTCCTGCAAAGCTCTCCTCTGAGGACTCATGAGGTACTAGTAGAGGGCTTGCAGGATACATTCGCATTGTCTCATTTATAATACAACGTAGGTAAGTGTTGAAAGAACTAATAAAACATAATAGCCTCAGAGAGGTCATTCATCATAGGCCACTTTAG